CAGTAAGGTCTTTATAAGTCTGTACATTTTCTCTCACTAGTAAAATCTAACCAGTGTAGCACACATCATTAAATCATTTTCTATTTTTAACATGCAGACAGACTTTCCATCATATCTCTTTGTATTGATCCAGAAGGCGAGCAAAACCACTATTAGAGCTTTTTGTCAATCTAATCTAAAATATGGAGTCTCGTCCCTTGATCAGGTAAGAGGCAGTTTTATTAACCCCTGTACAAACAGTCCCTAAAGTCTTCATCCAAACACAGGTTCAGCATGTCATTAGAGAACAGGGAGAACAGGGAATGACCTTGAAAGACCTGACACATTTCTGGAATCAGCTTAGTCTTTTTTTTTAGTGTTTTTTTTTATATTGTTTGATTTGTACGATCTAGTTTTGCAAGCAATTTCCTTTTTAGATTCCAGATTTCTAAACCCCATAAGCTGCAGTGTAACAGCAGAATATTAATAATGTACTGTTTGTTCTCTTGAATTTAATGTAAGGTAAGCTCTGAAAACCTTTTAAAACATTTACATTTATTGAACACATGAAAACATGAGGCAATGGCATTTAATTCATGTAACTTCTATTTATTTACAGTAGCAATATAGCAGCATCACGTCACATTTCATTTTTCAATAAAGATTAAAAACCCTTAAAATGATTTGCAGAATTATCACACAAAAAATAAACGTATTATTAAAGTGTACCTGACATGCAAATCTCTAAAAGTTTAAATTAAAAAGCATTAGATTTCATCTATACATTGTGCTATATTTTAATGCATTTAATGTAATACTTTTAAAAAATTTGGTCCCCCCACCTGTCAATCAATTATCTGCATTTGGATCTGTATTCCAATGGAAGAGAGAACCAAAATCAAATATTAAGTGACAGATAAGAACTCGATAACCTCTAGGTGGGTGTCTTGCTCCCTATCGCTGTGCTACTCCCCCAGCAAATATTTCTCATATTTTCATTAAGAGCATAATCTGTTCTGACATCGATGTGCTGATAGTGAAGCAAACAAGTCAACGTCATCAGAAATAATTGTCCTGTTTAGCGAAGTGGTCTCAACTAGGTCCAATCCTTACACAGAATGGAGGCAGCAGAGTGATATAACCGGATAACACCCACGGATCCTTTTGGAAAGGCAGTAGTAGAGAGAGGGTGGAGATAGTAAGTAATGCTATGACAGTTGCCAAAACCAAGAAATATATAATTTATCTTTATAATAAATTGTATATTTACTACTTTGGGAGATGATATAGCTAATGTCGAACCTATAGTGCCAGGTTCACTTTAATAATGTAAGGCATCCCTATAAACAAGTTAGGCCTTTTAATCTCTGAGCCATTGATAATACAGTGAAATATTACTTTATACAATAATAAAGAATTCCTTATATTGAAGGATAAGTTCTGTGTTGTAATCAATAAATAATTATGAATCCTTCTCCAACAATAATAAATAAAGCATGCTTTATGTAATCTAGAATAGGCAACAAAGGTCCCAGCATGCATAGCCACATAAATTAGCATATTGTATACTTCCATTCATACTGTGTTCATACAATGCAGCCCTTGTCCTTGCCCTTGCCAAACAGTCCTACTTTTCCTTTCTCATTAGTTCATGCTCCTGCAATCACAGGCATCTCTTTGACACCTTTAATTCTCTTCTTTGCCCTGGTGTGGCCACCCCCCAAACTAACCTTACTGCTGATAACTTTGCATGTTACTTTACTGACAAGATTGAACAGCTAAGGAAATAATTCTCCCCTCCTTGCCATTCTGTTTCTCAACCACACATAGATCATGCCTTTCCTACCCTTAAGACATTCTCCCCGGCTACTGAGGTGACTGCTCTTCTCTTTTCCTCTCTCCCCACCACTTGCCCACTAGATCCTGTCCCCTCTCTCCACTTGTCTCGTGCCTTCCTTAACGCACATCTTCAACTGCTCTCTGTCTTCTGGCATTGTCCCTGCTGACCTTAAACATGCCACTGTAGTACCTATACTAAAAAAAAATCCCTCGACCCGTTAACCTCCTCTAACTATCGTCCCATATCCCTGCTCCCTTTTTCCTCAAAGCTTCTGGAAAGACTTGTCTTTACCCGTGTGCCTCATTTCCTCAATTCCAACTCTTTCCTTGACCCTCTTCAATCTGGCTTCCGCCCTCTCCACTCTACTGAGACTGCGCTTATCAAAGTTACTAATGACCTAATCGCAGCTAAAGCCAAAGGCCACTACTCCATACTAATTCTTCTTTACCTCTCTGCGGCCTTTGACACCGTTGATCATGCTCTCCTTCTTCGAACTCTTCAATCACTTGGTCTCTGTGACTCTGTCCTCTCGTGGTTTTCCTCTTATCTCTCTCAACACTCATTCAGTGTCTCCTTTTCTAATGATACCTCCTCCCCTCGTCCTGTCTCTGTTGGAGTCCCCCAAGGCTCTGTCCTTGGTCCACCTTCTATTTTCTCTTTATACTGCCTCTCTTGGCAAACTTATTACTTCTTTTGGATTCCACTACCACCTGTATGCTGATGGCACCCAGTTATATCTCTCCTCCCCGGACCTCTCCCCTACCGTCCTACAATGTGTCACTGCTTGCCTTTCTTCCATCTCTGACTGGATGTCCTCCGCTTTCTTAAACTCAGTCTCTCTAAAACTGAGCTCCTTGTCTTTCCTCCTCCTAATACTGATCCTCCTCTTTCGCTCTCCCTTCAAGTTTGTGGTACCCACATCAGTCCATCCTTGCAAGCGCGCTGTCTTGGCGTCATACTTGATTCTGGCCTCACCTCTGAGCCTCACATCCAGCATGTTGCCAAATCCTGTAGATTCCATCTTAAAAGCATAGCCCGCATCCGCCCCTTTCTTACACCAGATGCTACCAAGGAGCTTGTCCATGCTCTAGTCATTTCCTGCATGGATTATTGTAACCCTCTCCATTTTCCTCTTCCCAAAAGCCATACTGCACCGCTACAGTCCATAGTGAACGCTGCTGCCAGACTGATTTTCCTCTCTGTTCGGTTCTCTCACACCTCACCCCTCTGCCAGTCCTTACATTGGCTTCCAATAAAGCACTGAACAACTCTAGCCCCTCTTATATCTCCTCACAGATCCGTAGGTATGTCCCTTCTCGGTCTCTCCGCTCTGCCCGTGACCACCTCCTGTTCGTTGTCCGCACCCGTACGTCCAACTCACGCATGCAGGACTTCTCGCGGGCGGCTCCTTTCCTATGGAATAGCCTGCCTACCGCCATCAGACTCTCCTCTAGTCTTGCATCTTTTAAGAAGTGCCTTAAAACCCATCTCTTTAGGAAAGCTTATGGCCTCCAAGACTAACCTCTACCTCACATACCTGTATCCTGTTCTCTCCTAAAGGGCAGCCCACCTTATTTGACTGCAAATTCCTGTCCTAAAGTGTTTTACACACCACCTCCTATAGGATGTAAGCTCGATTGAGCAGGGTCCTCTTCAACCTATTGTTCCCGTAAGTTTTTTGTAATTGTCCTATTTATAGTTAAATCCCCCTCTCATAATATTGTAAAGCGCTACGGAATCTGTTGGCGCTATATAAATGGCAATAATAATAATAATAATGTACGATGTTGGGTTTTGACATACATCTAAATATATGTTTAATAGTGCTATAACCAAATTAACCATTTGAGTTTCAGAAGTGTACATGATTTCCTAAAATTGTTCTGTGATCAACATTTAAATCATCGGCCACCCAGCAGCTGACTTATAATATAAAATGTCAAACATCAATCACAGGGCTTTAGTGTTTCTTATATATGCAGCATGCACAACACAGCACAACATTATATCTCTATATACAGTATCAATAAGATTTTTCCAACAGAAACCTTAATACCAATGCCATATTTATATTTAATTTAGGCCTCAATTTAATATTTTGGATAACTTTTCAAATAATGTAATAGTTTTCCATAACCTTTACAAATATATATAAAAAAATCATTATAATATCAATATATATATCTCAATATATATATATCAATATATATATATATATCAATATATCAAAACATAAAAATATTATATTTTAAATCATTAAAAAAGTTTATCCAAAATTTTTTCAAAATTTCTAAATGATGTATCTGAAAATATTAAATTGATACCTTAATGAGCAGCAATTAGAATGGAATGAAACTGTCTACTGACTTATTGAATATTTTGAAAAAGCTTTTTAAATGATTCGAAGATGTTTGTATAAACGTTTTTTTTTAAATGTCTTCGCAATAAAATAAAAAAATATTCATATAAAAAAAAACAATATATTAAAAAAAATTAAAATCTAAATATTTAAAAAGCTTATCCAAAAATTAGGCTGAGGCCTACAGCTGAAATCAAAGTGGGGGAACTCTTTATCACTGTAGCTAAATAGGGATGTATGCTTAGCTGTGCGCAGGTTCTAGATAAGTAGGTGCAGACAATATTATCATCAGAATGATATTTACAAATCTTAATTAAAAAGATTAGGGAAAAAATGACATTTTACTCTACAGATAACTCAGTGTATACTGAGATAGTCATGATTTTTTTCTTAAAAAATATAAATTAATCTAAACTCATAGAAAAGTGCCCATTGCAATCTAAATAAGATGTAGGGAGGACAATTTAGCCCTAAACACCAAGCTCAACCCTTGCGCATGCCCCTGAATGCATAGTGCAGGTGGGCTATTTAATGAGTGTTGATAATATCCCCCTTGGCACGTAGCTTCAAAAGTAAAAGGCTTGAATGACACAGCATTTCCACCATTTGTCCTTAAGGTTTTAAGCACGGGTTGGGGCTGTACTTTGAAGGGTACAAACTGTAAGATTAAATATTATAAAGGCCTAAAACCTACATATCCTTCACGTAAATAAACTGTACGCCAGCAGAGCTTAACATTTAGTCTGTTTCACTGTTTTGATACGCTGATATCTGCAGTCCTTTTATTTGATTCCTAAAATCACTGTCTTCTCACAATGTTGTTTACATTTTTTCTTTGTTATTTGGGTGACAGTAGAGAGAATTAAGGTCCACTGATTGCTTTCGTTTCTCTTCCCTTTCATTTTCTTCAGCAATTTTACCCTGCAGGATATCCAGTCTCTCGCTAGCGCTGAGATCGTAAGGTGCAAAAACATAATTATAAAGCAGACATGCTAGGACTGCACCTGAAATTGGGCCAACCCAGAATATCTGTTGATAAAAAAGAAAGACATAATTTTTTTTTGATAAGTTCAAAAAGTAGCAACCATTTATCACCTTGTCCCTTTAAATGGAAACTCATTAAAATTGTAAATACTTATATTCATGCTCATTCACAATAGTGTAATTATATGTTCTGCTTCATATCAGCATACATTTTAATGATGCTTTGTGTTTTTATTACTGTATTTTTAGAATTCATTTCTACTTCTACTTATGAGTAAGAGTATAATTCATTATTCTTTCGTTACTTAAAGGGACACTCCATGGTTAACTCTAAGTTTTTTGCAAGTTGTGTGATGACTTCTCACCAGACCCGGAAGTAACTTAGTTATTATTATGCTTACTTAACTTTGTTAAGGACTGCTAACCGTATTCTATAAGCACTTCTTTATGAACACACTAAGGGTTTCTGTGAGTTGTAGTTGTAGTATTGTTATCAGCACTCTATTTCAGAGAGTTTAAGCAACACTGCATTAAAAAAAAAAATTCATTAGTAGAATTATCCAAATAAAACAAGCATGTAACTTGTTTTGCATGTTTTATTGGGGTGTATGAAATTGTGTCTTGCAATAGCTGCAGATCTAATATCTGCAGCTACTGCATACCGTCCCCTTCTTCCCCTGTACAGACTTTCTGTAGATGTCCAATCAGACTTCTCAGTGAGCTGCATTACAGCTTGTTGAGAAGTCTTTGCAAGTCAGGTGCTAGGACATTTGGCTGCCTCTTGAGTTTGCTCCACAGGGCTAAACTACTAAGAAGCAGCACGATTGGCTGTTGTGGAGGTGTAACAGGGTTCATTTATACGTCACTCTTCAAACATAAAGAAGGCTAAATATTTTTGTGCAATTGGAGGGTTCTTGTAAGTCACTCTTCAAACATAAAGAAGGCTAAAGATTTTTGTGCAATTGGAGGGTTCTTGTAAGCATGATCGGTCATAACATCACCTACAAAAGTCTTTTAAGAGTAAAACTTGAAAAACTGCAGATTTTGGGTGTCTAAAATTATAACATACTGAGAAATCATATTTTAAGAGTCATATTCCAGAGTTTTATAGATTGTTTTTGAGTATATATATGTGATGCCCTACTCCTTGAGCATTAAGGTGGTAAATGCTTTTACAGTGATTGAAAAACTGAAGTTAAATCACACATATGCATTACATAATAAACTGAATTACATGAACTTAAATTGAGTTTGAAAGTTTTTTTATGATGAATTGTCCCCCTAAGTATGTTAGACTTTATGTTACATTGCAATCCATATTTTAAGTTCTCATCTCAACTCATTTGTCAAGACCATTAATTTGAATGACAATTACAAAGAGCAAGAGCATAGGCCTGTACGATTTGTAGACCTGACTTCCCAAAATGCTTAGCCTGAGTAAAGAATGACTGAATAACTTGACAAGTGTAGTTCACAAATGTCCAAAGTGCCAAGGTTAGCACAGACTCTCTACCTTTAATCCCTTTATTTAATTAAAAAAGCAAAACAAAAAGCAGTCTGTTTGCTCTATAAGAATTTGTTCCATACCAAGTCATGAGGAACACTGTACATTTACAGGAACAAATATTGTTTGAATTATGGCACTGTAGAGTACAGTACCTTCTATTGAAGACATGCCAAGGAACTGTACATTCTGTCTCTAAAGTGTGTTAGTCTGGCATCTAAGTTACCTATTCACAAGCATTAAACACACTTATTTTTTTCATTCTAACACATTTGGAACAGTTTGTGTCCCGAAAGCGCATTATAATGAAGTCTTATGATGTATCAGTTGATAGAGCTTGTGTATTATCGGGGTGTATGTGTTGTGAGCACTGGAAATGAATTTGTTTTAATTGCAAACCCATCTACGAAGTCACAGTTTAAAAGTTATGCTATCAGCTTGGCCTAAAAGTTACTTGCCACAGCAAGCTCAAAAGATCAAAGGCATATTCACCAAGGGTGAATTTTTACTCGCTAATGGCTAGTGGGCAATTGGAAATTTTGAGCCACAAGCTAAATGTAACTTTTGTAGCTACAGCTAAATTTCAGAGGTATGTTGGAGAAGTATATCAGTATGTCATATTAATATGCCAGTGTGAATAAATGTATGGCTGCATTCTAATAACTACTAAGGTGAAGAAGGAAGGGTTCTTACCAAGTGAGTATGCCATAGAGATTTTTTTTATAGGCTGCAACAGAAGCCTGCAGTGCTTTGTATATTGTATTTTCTTGGTGTAACTGAACTTAAAGAGAACATATAGTCTTATGAAAAAACTGTTTTTTTGGGGACTGTATGTTTCCTTCTACTTTTGTCAACACCCACCTTTCCTCAATAAAAGTTTAAAAAGATTACTCAACACCTTTCCAGTGCCAGGACACCTCTGAAGAAGTCTCTATCATCTCCTTTGTTGATGTCAGCACCCGCTTTCTCCTCCAATCCACTGCATTTCATAGACAAGCAATGGCTTGGAACTTGGCATGGGTGGCCAAATGCTGTGTTCCTTTAATCAAATGCTGTTATCACAGCATTTGATTTCAGGACTGAATTTCAGGAGGAAGCACCTCTAGTGATTCAGGAAGACAGTCACTAGAGGTGAATTGAACCAAGCAATGTAAATACTAGGTCTGTCTGGAAAAAGTCCAGTAATTGTTAATATAACGAGAACGGTTTGCGCAACATTGCTGTAACCTGGCAGCCAAGAAGTGTGGACTGGAAAACGTATGCAGCAACAGTGACTACTTCTCTGTACTAACCAGTGGGGGCACTAGATGCGATTGAGTGAGCATGTGTACTGCATGGCTGTTGATTTCAAAATGAGTGAGTGAGCAGAGCAACAAATCTGCATCAAAGTTTGCGTTAAGCTTGAACATTTCTCTGCGGAAACTATTTGGGCGATTCAAATGGCTTTCGGGTATAATGCAATGAGTGCAGTGCAAATAAAAGTATGGCACAAATGCTTCAAAGATGGTTGAGAATTAGCAATGTCCCGAACGGTTCGCCAAACGGTTCGCCACGAACTCATCGTTGAGTAAACTTTGACCCTGTACCTCACAGTCAGCAGACACATACCAGCCAATCAGCAGCAGACCCTCCCTCCCAGAGCCTCCCACCTCCTGGCTCACTAAGAATGCAGCTTCACAATGAATGTAAAATGGATGCTGTCCAGGAGGTGGGAGGGTCTGGGAGGGAGGGTCTGCTGCTGATTGGCTGGAATGTGTCTGCTGACTGTGAGGTACAGGGTCAAAGTTTACTCAACGATGAGTTTGTGGCGAACCGTTCGTGGCGAACTGTTCGGCGAACCGTTCAGGACATCACTATTGAGAATCTGTTGAAAGATTGTGGCTTTTCCCAAAACTAAGAACACCTTTGAAAAGGAAAGGAAGATATTTCAGGCCATGGAGGAGATTCAGGTAAATAAGACGAGGTAGCTGATAGCCATTCCAACAAAAAATTTTGCAGAGTGTTTTGAACAGTGGAAGAGAACTGTGTGAGATCCCATGGTGCATACTCTGAAGGGGACTGAGCCATGATTGTCCTATGTACAATGTTTCTTGTATCTTGTATCTTCTTCAATAAATGTCTCTATTACATAACTGGATACTTTCCGGAGAGACCTCGTATTGCAGTCTCTACTAAACTGCAATGTTTTACATTGCTGGGTTAAAATGACATCCATGACAAAATGATCCATTGAGTTGAAGTGGTGTGGGTGACTTTAGTGGCCCTTTAAATGTATGTGAACATACATGCCTTTCTCCATACTGACATTATTTTTTTCATTATGGCATTACATTTGGTATTGTGGAATAAGTTTGGTGCCAAATAAATGTTAATAATAATCATAATTTGTTTTTCAATCTGACCTTTGCCCCCTCCACTTTACTGAGATTGCTCTTATTAAAGTTACAAATGACCTAATCACAGCCAAACCCAAAGGCCACTACTCCATACTAATTCTTCTTGACCTCTCTGATGCCTTTAACACTGTTGATCATGTCCTCCATCTCCTATATCTACAATCTCTTGGTCTCTGTGACACAGCCCTCTCATGGTTCTCCTCCTATCTCTCCCAATGCTCCTGTAGTGTCTCTTTTTCCAACAGCACCTCCTCTCCTCGTCCTGTCTCAGTTGGAGTTACTCAGGGTTCAGTTCTTGGACCTCTTTTGTTCTCTCTTATACTGACCCTCTTGGCAAACAAATTAATTCATTTGGATTCCACTACCACCTGTACACTGACAACACCAAGATATATCTTTCCTCCCCTGACCTCTACCCTGCTGTCCTACATGTCACCAATTGCCTTTCTTCTATCTCTGATTAGATGTTCTCCCTCTTTCTGAAGCTCAATCTCTCTAAAACTGAGTTTCATACTTTTCCTTCTCACTGATCCTCCTCCTTCACTCTCCCTGCAGGTTGACGGTACCTGCCTCACCCCATCCTTTCAAGCTTGCTGTCTTGGTGTCACTTTTGATCCCGGCCTCATCTTTGCACCTCATGTCCAGTCTGTTGCTAAAACCTGTTGATTCCAACTTAAAAACATACGCCCCTTGCTTACGCAATAATAATAATAATAATATAATAAGGAGCTTGTTCATGCTCTAGTAATCTCTTGCATTTATTACTGTAATTATCTCCTAATTGGCCTCTCCAGAAGCTGTACTGCCCCCCTACAATCTGTGGTGAATGCTGCTGCCAGGCTGATCTTTCTCTCCTGTCACGCATCTCACACCTCACTCCTCTGTCGATCCTTACACTGGCTTCCTGTCCCCTAGAGATGTCAATTTAAAATACTATGCCTTACCTATAAAGCTCTAGCCCCTCTAACATTTCCTCACTGATTCATAGGTATGTCCCCTCTTGGTCTCTCTGCTCTACTGGTGACCTTTTCCTGCCTGCTGCTCGCACCCTTAGTGCAAATTCATGCCTGCAAGACTTCTCACGGGCAGCTCCTCTCCTTTGGAACAACCTGCTTATCCCTGTCAGACTCTCCCCTAGTCTTCAATCCTTTAAGAAGGCACTCAAAACCCATCTTTTCAGGAACGCTTATGGCCTCCAAGAGTAACTTCTATCTGTCAAACCTTCCTCTCGCTCTCTCCTAAAGGGCCACACTCCACTCTTACCTCCAGTTCTGCTACTTTCCCACCATGTATATTTGCTGTCTCTCTTAATACCCTTCCTATTGTGTTTTTATACCCCACCTCCTCTAGACTGTAAGCTCGTTTGAGCAGGGTCCTCAACTACCTATTGTTCCTGTTACATTTTGTTATTGTCTCATTTGGTAAATTCCCTTTTATTTGTAAAGCGCTGCGTAATAAGCTGGTGCTATATAAATACCAATAATAATAATAATAATAATCTGTTTGCTATATATGACTATAAGTGGATTCTGCTTCAATGTTAAAAGTTCAGACCCTGTTTAAATATTGAAAAGATAAGATATAGCATGAGCGTTTCTGTTAGGAATTAATGAATAGTTGAGTAATTCCAACTATAGCTCATGTTTCAATTAAAAACAACTTGATAATGAAGATAATGAAGAGGTTACTTAGGTACTCAACTAAAAAATAAAAAACATTCTTTGTGGTAAAAACCTACACAGAACTGACCTCAACTATTATTATTATTATGATATTTATAGAGCGCCGTCAAATTCCGCAGCGCTTTACAATGGGTGGACGAACAGACATGTAGTTGTAACCAGACACGTTGGACACACAGGACAGAGGGGTTGAGGGCCCTGCTCAATGAGCTTACATGCTAGAGGGAGTGGGGTAAAATGACACAAAAAGGTAAGGATAGTATTACCAACTTTGTCTCTGTTTGACTAGCATGCACATTTATACTGTTTATATGTACATTGTATTTAAAAACTGTTTAATTAAAAATAAAAAATAAATTGTTACTCAGATATTGGAGGCTGATATTCTTTTCTAAATATCATCATATATCAAATTCTTACCCAGTGATCATTAAAGTTTCCTGTAATCAGTGCAGGAGCAAATGATCTTGCAGGGTTCATTGAACAGCCAGTATAATAGATCTATGAATAATAATTAAACAAGTTAACACATTATATGCGTACTTAAGAAGAGAATTTAAAATGCTTCCTTATTTACATGTAACAACATGTGCACATGTCAGTTTTTTACATTTTGGTAGTCATGCACTGTTTAACATAGGACATTCCTTCTTTCAAAACGTAGCATTTCTTCTCTTAACATGTGACTTATTTTATATATATATTTAGAATTTTGTATCTCTAAAACAAATCTACTAATTTCATTCAATAAGGAATTGCAAATGCGATTAGAATAGACCATATATTGTGTAAGTATACTTTCATATTTTGGTAACATTTGATCACCAGTAAACAGCCACATGGTTTGCCTCAGTTTAGTACTATCAGGACTGGCCTTTATATTGGGCAAACTGGGCAACTGGCAGGTGGGATGCAATGGGGGCCCCAAAAAGATGTCCTCAGGCAGCCCATGAAGGGCCAACGCTACCCAAGCACTGGCTCAGAGAGATCACTCTACTTCTCACATGAAGGGCCAACGCTACCCAAGCACTGGTTCAAAGAGATCACTCTACTGCTCAGAGCTCAACCAGGCACTCTAATATATGGGGGGGGGGGAGGGGCAGAATGATTGTTGTCTACACATATGCTACAGTAAGTGCAGATCATGTGTATTGCTTCTGCGAGCATATAAGAGAATTGTCATCTTACTGTCAGCAGCTCAGCCCACTACATGCTCTACCCACTGGACCACCAGGGATCATTTCCCCATCCATGGTTCAAGGTACACAAGAGGTAATTAATAATGTGTATTATTTTAGTACCTACCAATTTTGCACACATTCTTCAGCCTCTATCATCACTCACACAGACACTACAGCTCGTATGTCCCCTCACAATATAGCCTGTATCTCTCCAAACACAGCTCTTATCCCTCCATACAGTATACAGTCAATATTCCTCCTCCACTTACACTAAAGCTCTATATCTGTGACATTATCTTCAACTGATCGTTAGTTTTAACCATGCTACTTACCCCAAGTAGATGTCCCAGTACAACTGAAAGTCCAATGGATATGGCTGGAGAACCCACATTATCAGTTCTGCGGCTGTCCGTCGAGGCAAAGATGCAGAGAACCAGTTGTAATGTAAGGAAAACTTCAATGGCAAAAGCTTGTCCAGGGCTTGTTCCATTACTTGGCTGGGGAATATAACTTACAGTATAATAAATGTATTATTTTATAACTTTTCTCTTATAACATTATATATAAAAACCAAACCCCAATAACTATAATTTATAACTATAAACTTTTCAGAAAGAAAAACTTTTTGTGAAGCTTTTTTGTGTGTTTGCGACAGAATATTTAAGTTACAAATCCCTGATGCACATTGTAAAAATAAATAAATAACAATAATGGGATCTCAAAAGGGTAAATAATACAAACTGCGTAGGATAGCATGAGAAAAGGTTTAAGAGGTTAGTTATTATTGTGATGGAAGAAATATGTTTCACCTATGAACTTCATTCAGGGATGCATAAGCAGCATTGAAATCACATAACTGACAATAGTACATTGAAAGAAAAAAATAATTGTCAATGGAAATGTTTTATCATCAAGTTCAGTGGAAAGGATTCATTTTGTAATCTGTGTATAAAACTTACCTGATTGATGCCAAAACCTCCTCTGATTTCAGCTGGAGAAAATTCATACAGTAAACCTGCCCCCACCACACCTCCTATCAGCTGGGCAATTATATAAAAGAGGGCTTGTGCGAAGGAAATGTGAGCCCCTAAAACCATGGCTATTGTCACCGCTGGGTTGAGGTGAGCCCCACTTATGTGCCCCACTGTCTGGACAAGAGTACCTATTCCCAAGCCAAAAGTGAATGATATCTGCAGGACGGTTGGAAGGCTTGAAGGCCATGCCAGAGTTGACCCTAAGCCAACAAAAACAAACACTAGGGTTCCAATCAGCTCCGCTAGAAAGGCCTTCAGATTGAACCCATTACATAATTCTTTTATCATGATGAGCCTAACCTACAAGGGTAAATTAAATGCACAAATAAAATCCTAATGTTTCGTTGATGTTCCGTGCTGATGCTTATGCGATGGTGAATGTATATTTAATACTGGTGAAGGATTTATATCGCTTTGGGAGGCAGGAACAATGCCAGATCATTGCAGAAAGAGGTGTGGCTCTACTACTACTCAGAAACAGTGGAAAATTTACTAACGATGATGTAAACTCCCAGACGTTCTTTAGATAAATCTAATGCGATGACTAGGAGTGACCCGCCTGCTAATTGGGATGAGTTCTAGGTATAGCAGTGAGGAAATAACTGGCTCAGATGATCCACTAGAGAGGTGTGTGGAGGCTGTTTTAAAAAATCTGACAAAATTGCAATTTCCAGATAAATAATGATGTAATTTAGATAAAAATAATCTAGATGAAAAAATATATATAATTTCTAGACAAATAATAAAATATAATGTCTATCTTAAAAAGTACTTTGAATGACACAACATGTAATTAACTTTAATCTTATATTGAAAATTTAAGGTGATAAAAAGTCTCAAGCCAGTGAAGTTCAGAGCATTCTGCTGCTCTGAATCTAGACGATAACTTGGCCACATATGGTATGGAAATGTTTCTTCTTGTACCATGTTAAAATGGCTTTGTTTTGTGCTTGGGGCAATTGCCCTCTTAAAAGGTGAAATATATTTTAAGTAAATATTTTGGATAGAAAAAAAAATAGTTTCCCCACATTTAGTATAATTTTAAACAAGATGCCTGTTCATAAGACACACCCTTACCACATAAAATCCATTTAAAAAAGCTTTTTCTCCCAGCTATCAGTCTCAGCATTGACTCACAAGGGTGAGCAGAAAAGACCTCCCACAGTAGGTCCAGCGCATGCATGATGGTTGCTAATGAAAAATCTTTAGCCAGTTTCTCTAGTGCTGGCTAGGGAGTATAGAGATGTGACGTCACTCCATTACGATACCATCGTGCTGGCAACAAGATTTGCCCTGCTTGAGGATGCGTTCCAAGCAGGGTAAGTCAAAGAAGATTTCGGGAGGAGTGCAGGTGGAACAGAGAACAGCCAGGAGGTGGGAGATACATAAGAAGTAACACTCACGGAGCGGAAAAGTGAGTCAATCTTTAGAATTTACATTGAATACACCACGTATCTTTGTGATAGAGTGTATTTAATATATATGAGAGCAATTTTAGGTAAGTGAATTTTTCAAGACAGGTTCACTTTAAAATGGTGATTTCATAAAATTACTAACTTTTAAGTAACAAACTTCTCAGTGTGACTATTTTATGAATTGGAATGTCTGGGCACGGGAAGGCTTAAGAAAGGCTCTGAATGGAGCTGAAATATTGCCTTTGTTTCCAATAAAAATCTGCCTTTTGAGTGCATGGGCAGCGTTCTGTTTTATACACAATTTTAAATATAAAGCACACTCTTTTCACACACATCTACATTTCATATTAAACACATTATTTACACATTGCTGTTTAGTATACATATGGGGTGGGGGTGTAAGATGATGTTTGCGTGTGTATATTTATATACTGCATTACAACATTTGTAGTTAATTAACATATACTGAGATGATATAATCATCGTAATGAAGTACCATTGTTATAGTTAGAATATAATAGTGTGGTTTCAAAATGAATAATTATGTTGATGAACTCTTTGGTTACTGTCTAATGCATAATGCCATAATTATAGTAATATGAATGAAAATATAGAAGAAACAGACTTAAAAGAGATACTGCAATTGCCGTAGCAACTACAGCTTATTGTAGTGCTTATGGTGCTAAGGAGTTATGTGCACATGCCAGTTTTTTAACTATGTATGACAAAAATGTATATGTTCCAAGTGCTGAATTGTGACATCATACCGTGTTTCTCCGAAAATAAGACCGGGTCATATTAATTTTAGTCACAAAAAACACACTAGGGCTTATTTTCAGGGTAGGGCTTATTTATTTACGGTACCGGTATGTACATTGAACCCCCCTTTAATTAATCCACCCCCCCTTTAATAAATCCACCCCCCTCTAATTAATCCACCCCCTCTAATTAATCCAGCCCACCCTTTAATTAATTCACCCCCTCTAATTAATCCAGTCCACCCTTTAATTAATTCACCCCCCTTTAATTAATTCACCCCCCTCTAATTAATCCAGCCCACCCTTTAATTAATTCACCACCCCTTTAATTAATTCACCCCCCTCTAATTAATCCAGCCCACCCTTTAATTAATTCACCACCCCTTTAATTAATTCACCCCCTCTAATTAATCCAGTCCACCCTTTAATTAATTCACCCCCTTTAATTAATTCACTTTAATTAATTCACCCCCTCTAATTAATCCAGCCCACCCTTTAATTAATTCACCACCCCTTTAATTAATTCACCCCCCTCTAATTAATCCAGCCCACCCTTTAATTAATTCACCACCCCTTTAATTAATTCACCCCCTCTAATTAATCCAGTCCACCCTTTAATTAATTCACCACCCCTTTAATTAATTCACCCCCTCTAATTAATCCAGCCCACCCTTTAATTAATTCACCACCCCTTTAATTAATTCACCCCCCTCTAATTAATCCAGCCCACCCTTTAATTAATTCACCACCCCTTTAATTAATTCACCCCCTCTAATTAATCCAGCCCACCCTTTAATTAATTCACCACCCCTTTAATTAATTCACCCCCCGCCCCCTTTAATTAATTCAGTCCCAGACATAAAATATCTAGCGGTACTCACATTTCAAAGATTCCTTGCCGAGTCCGACCACTGGGAGCCTCACCGCCCGGAAATGGATCCTTCCGCTGAAGATCCGTGAAGGCAGACTGAGCGCTGCGAAATGTCGTCATCACGTTGCGCAATGACGCGGCCCACAACGCTCCTCCTACAGTAGAAGAAGGAAGTCTTGCCGCAAAGGTACAATGCCTAGGTCTTATTTTCGGGGTAGGGCTTATATTGCAGCCCACCCCGAAAATCCGACTAGGGCTTATTTTCGGGGTAGGGTTTATTTTCGGGGAAACACGGTAGTGAGGATATCTACTTTTCTCATTCTGTGTACAGATGTTTGTATTGCATGCAGTGAGCAGATCAGAGTGCTTACTGTGTTGAATTGCTGGCACCAAAAGGTCTTCCTGAACTTGACAGCTAGGGCCATCTTTAATACGGGGCAAAGGGGGCAAATGCCCCGGGCCTAGTCAGTCTTAGGGAGCCAAAAGCTGCTGCCCCTTTAGCACTCTGTCCGCCGCTGTGCGTGTGGTCTACGTGGAACTACCACCACTGGCCGCGCGATGTGGAGGCTCATTGGGTGGCCCATGCTCTAAGGACCATCCGATGGCGATGGATTTTCAGGGGCCCGGCCACTTTGAGAGCGTGACAGGACCCCCTGTGATGATGTCAGGATGCTGGGAGGAAGTGACAGCCGGTCACTTCCTCCCAGCATTCACTGAACGCTGCGCATAATGTCTGTATGTGTCTGTCTGTATGTATGTATGTGTCTTTCTGTATATATGTGACTGTCTGTATCTGTCTGTCTGTGTCTGTATGTATGTGTGTCTGTCTGTATGTATGTGTCTGTTTGAATGTATGTATGTCTGCATGTGTGTATCTGTTTGTATGTATGTATCTGTTTGTTTGTTTGTATGTAAGTGTAACTGTTTGTATGTATGTATGTATGTATTATGTATGTGTGTATCTGTTTTTATATATGTGTGTGCCTGTTTGTATGCGTGTATGTGTATCTGCATGTGTCTCTATGTGACCCTGTGTATCAGTATGTGTTTCTGTGTGTCTTTGTATATATGTGTATCTGTATGTCTCTGTGTCTGTGTATATGTTTGTATGTGTGTCAGTGTGTATCTGTATGTGTGTCTGCGTATCTGCATGTGTGTCTGTGTTTGTATCTGTGTGACTGTCCTTCTGTGTATTTGAATGTGTATCATTCTGTGTGTATGTATAGCTGCATGTGTGTCTTTGTATCTGTATATGTGTCAGTGTCTGTATCTGTGTGTATCTGCATGTGGGTCTGTGTATGTATCTGTATGTTATTGTGTGTATCTGCATGTATGTCAGTGTGTTTGTGTGTTAGTGTTTCTGTTTATCTCCATGTTTGTCAGTGAGTTTATCTGTACATCAGTGTATGTAGGTGTGTCAGTGTGTATCTGTATGTGTGTCTGTATATGCACTTATGTGCTTGTTTGTCAGTGAGTGTATCTGTACATCAGTGTATGTAGGTGTATCAGTGTGTATCTATCTGTGTGTTAGTGTGTGTATTTTGTCTCTGTAAGAAATTAGAGGGCTAAGTGTGTGGGGTTTTTTTTGTGTGTGGGCGTTGATGGCGTGATTGCATGCTAGGAAGGGGAAGGGCCAGGTAAAGGGGCCCCAATCAAATACCTGCCCAGGGTCCAATCAGTATTAAACACGGCCCTGTTGACAGAAACTGAATGGGGCCACAGCTGGTCATCACAGTCAAATAAAGTCAAATAAACCTATACCTAAGCTCTTGTGTGTCCTTTCTCAGGGTCTAATGCCTTATAATTATAATGTTGCCTTTCTAAACACGTTTAAACACGTTTAACCTAAAGAGCAAGTGGTGACACATTATGAATATTGAGGTTTTTTTGTAATTATTGTTTAGCTATTTGTTTCACAGTCTCCACTTAAACTCCAGTGCCCTCCTTACCTACTGTTCTCATAAACATGTTTTGTTAGAACTCATTATTTGTCTTGTTTTGCCTATTGTACAGTGCTGCAGAATATGCTGACTGTATTTAAATAATCATGATTATAACGTCTAACGCATGTCATCTCCTGGGTTAGACCCACTTGAATGTAAGCCCAAAAGATGCCAGAACGTGCTGTGATCTGGTATGGATATAGAAATTCAAGATGGATTGCACCCAGGCTACAGTTTTTAAAGAAGATTGGAAAGAGTTGCCAAAGTTGCCTGAACACACATGTACGAGGTCTGTCTGGAA